CTCCCCACACACACACACACACACACACACACACTCACACGCACACACACACACACACACACACACACACACTCACTCACTCACTCCAGCTCATGCTCTGTTTGGGTTTTGTAGGTGTAAGTACGGCTGGCAGGGCCTACTGTGCGATGAGTGTTTGCCGTACCCGGGCTGTGTGCATGGCACTTGCGTGAAACCCTGGACCTGCACCTGTGAGAAGAACTGGGGAGGACTTCTATGTGACAAAGGTAGGTTGAATTGCCTTCTTTTAAAATTCCTCAGTGGTCGTGTAAAACAACACTCATTCCACCTTGTCAAAAACAGCTCTGTTCATAGCGACTCATTTTGGTGCATGTCTCTTTAAGTTATAATGAGCTACTGCTCACCCCACCCCTCTCTTCCATGGGGCGTATCAACACAAAACATGTGAATTGCTGCGTTGGATCCCATATATGGCTTGGAGGTGGTCTTATTGAAATTGCTTTCTATCTATGTAGAAACCAGCTACAAATTCAGACTCAGACATCCCATAACAAACTGACTGCGTGTTTTCTTTTCAGCTTTTTTGAGCTGGCAGACACGCCAGTAAACTCACTAAATGCAAAAAAAAAAAAGTGAACATTTCATCCGATGTCCCCTTTAACTAAAATGTGTTACAGACATTTCATGAATACACAAAAAATCATAGAAACTTGTGGAAAATGGGCATCCAATGTCCCCTTTAACAGCAAGTATAGATGCAATTATGCAGCATATTGTGTAATTAAATTGATTAAAAATGTAAGAGTTATAAGAACTTTAAAAAGTTTATCTGTAGTAACACACATATGAAAAAAGTGAACATTTCATCCGATGTCCCCTTTAACTAAAATGTGTTACAGACATTTCATGAATACACAAAAAAATCATAGAAACTTGTGGAAAATGGGCATCCAATGTCCCCTTTAACAGCAAGTATAGATGCAATTATGCAGCATATTGTGTAATTAAATTGATTAAAAATGTAAGAGTTATAAGAACTTTAAAAAGTTTATCTGTAGTAACACACATATGCTGTTCAGAAGTTAGTAAGATTTAAAAAAAACTTCTTACTTAACCCAAACTTTTGAACAGTAGTTTATCTGAACAAAAAAGGACCCTTTTATAGGAGATTCCTGGTGTTATGACCTGAAATGTTTCACTTAGATCAAAAATGTTTTGTTAAGATAGTAAATGAATGCAGCTGAGGTCTGTTCCCTCTCACTTTAGGCATTCATTGACATCCACACACATTTTTCTGCTCTGAGTGGAGTGTTGCAGCTTTTTCTGCCATATTCTTTCCTGCTGGAAAAGATTGATTGTGTATTGTTTATTTATGTGTTTCTGTACAGATTTAAATTACTGCGGCACACACAAGCCCTGTGTAAATGGAGGCACGTGTCTGAATACAGAGCCAGATGAATATTTCTGCTCCTGCCCTGAGGGTTACTCCGGCAAAAACTGTCATATCGGTAAGAAAGCTTAGTAAAACTTTGACAAAAGTTGTCATATAATTCTCAAAACTAATAGTTTTAATATACAAGTGTAGGAATGGCAAAAAAAAAAATATATAGATAAGAAATGCTTATGCCAACCTGTGATTTGAGTTTAACAAGGTCTACCAAACGTGTGTGTGTGTGTTTGTACCTTACAGCCGAGCATGCGTGCATGTCAAACCCATGTGCAAATGGCGGGACATGTCATGAGCTGGCTTCAGGGTTTGAGTGCCAATGTCCCCCAGGGTGGGACGGCCCAACTTGTGCTAAAGGTCAGAAGTCATTCACTATTTATTGACTCTAGATGAGGCAGACTATACTAGATATTTACATATTATACATACTTATTTTAATTTTCTGTTTTTCGTGTGTGCACATTTCAGACAAAGATGAGTGCTCGTCAAACCCGTGCGCTCATGCGGGGACCTGCTTTGATCTGGAGAATGGCTTTGAATGTTTATGCCTCCCACAGTGGACAGGCAAGACCTGTCAGATAGGTGAGACCTAGTGTGTGCATGCATTCATATGATTGATTTTATGCTCAAATCTATTGGGGGCCACAAAACAGTACCACTTTTAACTGGATCGTACCATGTCGAAACAGGGGGCCGGATGGCACCTCTCAAATATCAGCAGTTCTCTAAGTGTGTAATGTGTAGTGCTTGTTTAATGTAATGAATTGTGTAATTGAATGTCGCGTTTTGATTGTTTTTGTGAGTGCATGAGTGTGTGTGATATGCCTGCAACTATGTATATATTTTGGCATTGCGTGTTTGTATGTTTATTTAACCTGAGTTTGCGGGTATGTACTGTATGTGTGTGATGTGGCAGATAGCTGAATATTATCTGTAACCAGACCTAGGTGATTTAAGTAAAGCTATATATATCATCAGGCCTGGCAACTGCCAAGACGGGGGCTAAATTTATCTTTTTGCGTGACTATATCAGAGTGATCATGGGGTGGAGAAAGAAGCTCAAAAGGGGTGTGGTGGAAGTATTTTACTCCGCTGCTGCGAGTGTGACAGGAAATGCTTTATAACCTGTAAACAAGTGCAGTGTGGAATTGTAGCCGTGGTGTTTGGTTATGGGGGCGGGTCGGGTTTCCCAGGTTGCACTCTGTTCTCAGGTGTGGAGAGGACAGGGTTACCTCTGCAAGATTAAGAAGAGAGTTCGATTTCATCTGTGGTACAACATCAGTTCCATATAGCTACAGCACCACACACAACTTTTATTCACTTTTTATACACATTATGTCACCTATACACATGAAACATATTATAATATGTTATTAAGCATTAAACATATCGGCAGGGTTTACCAAATGGAGGTTTGCAAGGGACCTGCACATGCTGCGAGTGTGACAGGAAATGCTTTATAACCTGTAAACAAGTGCAGTGTGGAATTGTAGCCGTGGTGTTTGGTTATGGGGGCGGGTCGGGTTTCCCAGGTTGCACTCTGTTCTCAGGTGTGGAGAGGACAGGGTTACCTCTGCAAGATTAAGAAGAGAGTTCGATTTCATCTGTGGTACAACATCAGTTCCATATAGCTACAGCACCACACACAACTTTTATTCACTTTTTATACACATTATGTCACCTATACACATTAAACATATTATAATATGTTATTAAGCATTAAACATATCGGCAGGGTTTACCAAGGGACCTGCACATGGTTCATGAGTTGTTGAAAAAACTAATAATTAATCATATTGAATGTAAAATTAAAATACTGTAAATAAATGGGGTATAGATATTTTGCATATTTCAGAGTTATAATGCAAATTTCATTGTTATAATGATCAAATAAGACAACTATTGTAATTTACAACAGTAATATATTGCTGTCTTTATTTTTATAATTAAGTTAAAACCTACTAAACTACTAGTAATATTCATTGATATTAATATTATTATTTTTAATTAAAATATATATTGTTATATAAATATATATAATTATTATTATTAAAATATCAGGATGTACTTGAAGTAAATATTGCCCCCCCTTTACTGGATAAAGATGAAAGATTTATATATATATATATATATATATATAAAAGATTTTTACTCACAATTTCTATTCAATAAAATATTTTAGAGCTTGGCATAAATATGATATAAATTTATTACAAAAATAGACAAAAAAGATTTTATTCATTTTTTTTAAACTTTATGACTTTTCCAGATCTAGAAATCCCACTTTCAAAATAAGGCTTCCTCATATATCAACGTTTTCAAAGAACCCTGGTTTGTAAATAAAAAATGTATTAAATAAAAATTAAATATACAAATAAATAAAAATAAGGCAACTAAAATCTAAATATTTCTTATTTTTAATCACCCCAACTATTTATGCTTATCATGCCTTATATTAAAGGGGTCATATAATGCTATTTTAAAGATCATTCTTTTGTGTATTTGGTGTAACAGAATATGTTGACATGCTTTAATGTTCAAAAAACACATTATTTTTCAAATACTGTACATTATTGTAGTTGCTCTATGCCCCGCCTCTCTCAAACGCGTCGTTTTCTACAAAGCCCCTCCTTCCGACAAGCACAGTCTGCTCTGATTGGCCAGCTGACCCAGTGCATTGTGATTGGCCGAACACCACAAGCACACGTTGGAAATGTAACACCCCTTTCCATAATCGCGAGCTTCAGCTTTCAACATAAATGTAAAGACAGTACATAATGTCCTTAGTTTTACCAGGTGAAGCCCGAAAGGGGAACAGAGTCGCGTGACAGACACAGTGATGATGCTCGTATGTATTTGCAGTACACAAGCCGCGATCAAGAAAGCTGACTCCATTGTGATGTGACCCTGTCTCTCTCTCTCATACGCACACACACACACACACACACGACGCGATACTCTACACGGTGCAAAACTCACGATTTTAACAGTCAATAGCAAATACTTAAACTGTTAAGAAAACATACTTACAGCAGCTGATTCAGAATAAGCGCCAGATTGTCATAGCAAAGTCGGAATTTACCCATTTGTTTTAGAAATAGCCTTTGCACAGTCAGCCTTGTAGGCTACTCTCCTTAGTTCACAAAACTGTCATCCATAAAAAGCGTTGCACAAATTCGAACATCTGGGTTGTGCTGTTCTGTTGTAAATAAATCTTAACCAATGATTCCTCATTGCATCTACTT